GTGTAGAGATCATTGAGAACAGCGAGAAAGCCGAACACCTAGGACAGTATTTTGCCTCGGATTTTACCAGAGAAACAAAGTTTCGCAGTCGTAGTGCCAGCAGTGCTGTTGAGACTGCTGGTCCCGTGCTTGACTCCATACTCTTCCCGACAACTGTCATGGAAAGGGAGCTGAACAATCTCACAGAAGCAAAGTCCTCGGGTCCGGCCAATATACCGGCCAAATTCTTGAAAGAGTTGTCGAATGAACTCTCCAAACCACTGGCACACATCGTCCGCTCATCATTCGAATTAGAGAGGCTGTCATCGGAATGGAAGACAGCAAATATCTTTCCGATATACATGGGCGGGGCTCTCACTAATGCTATCAATTACCGGCCTGTTAGTCTAACCTTCATCTGCTGTAAAATAATGGAGGCCATAGTTAAGAAAGCAACAATGAAGTTCCTGGAGCAGGGCCACTTACTCCCAGACCTGCGGCACGGCTTCAGACAGAACCACTCGTGCCTTTCCAGTTTATTGCTCTCGACGGAGCATCGGACTCGCGCACTTGACGAGGATGGTAGGGTCGATATCATTTACACAGACTTCAAGATGGCGTTCGACAGCGTCCCACACAGACGCCTAATCTACAAACTTTCTGAAATTGGGATAAGAGGAAGGCTGCCGGCATGGATAACAGATTTTCTTACCGGTAGATCACAAACCGTGTGCGTCGAGGTCCCAAGGTCAACTCCTACCCCCGTTCTAAGTGGTCTTAGGGCCGTTGCTATTCCTGATTTACATTAACGACTGCGTCGACGACCTGGGATGCAGCGCCATCATGTTTGCTGACGATGTTAAGCTGTGGAGACCCATCAGATCTGACGCAGACAGGTACGCGCTTCAAGACAGTCTCAACCGCCCGAACAGTTGGTCAGCTCGTGGGCTCCTTAATTTTAATGTGGACAAATGTGTGGTCCTGAGACTCCGCACCAGACGGACCAGTAAGGAGGACGATTCCTTTCAATACGTCCTTGGTGGTCAGCCCCTTTCAAATGTTGTGGAACAGAAAGACCTGGGCGTCCTAATGACTTCCTCGCTGAAACCATCATCACAGTGTCAAAAGGCGGCTAAAACTGCGATAAGGGTGTTGTTTGCGTTGAGGAGAGGATTTATGTAGATCAATAAAGAGCTCTTCGGGAAAACCTATGGGGCATGCGTCCGGTATGCAGTCCAGGCCTGGCGACCGTGGTGGAAGAAAGATTATCAACGATTGGAAAGAGTACAGGCAATGGCTACGAAGATGGTCAAGCATCTTCATCATCTGCCTTACGAAACCAGGCTGACCGAACTAAATCTGCTTCCTCCAAATTACAGGCAACTGCGCGGCCAACTCATTCAAACCTATAGGATTGTCAGAGGCCGTGAGTGCGCCATAGACTTTGATGAATTCTTAGAATTGGCCGGGACCGACCGTCAGCGTGGTCATCCCTTCAAACTGCAGAGGAAGCTGGCTCATTCGGACGTCCGACAGAACGCCTTCTTCCACAGGGTCATTGGGGCATGGGGCGGACTCCCTGATGCGGTGGTTCTTTCCGAAACTGTCGAATCCTTTAAGTGTAGACTAGATGCTCATTTGTTGAGAAACAACTGTACATCTAATCGCGATTGTTTTAGCGGCGGCAGTTTGCGCCTGGCTCACACTTACCGCAAACTTTTTGAATTTCCGCAATTGCTGATGTAATTGATGACTTTATGTCTGTTTATCGAAATGAATAGGGAGCTCATGGGCGAAAGCCACGTTCCCTTACTAAACTGACTTAAACGGACTTATCCCGTCTCTCTACCCTTCCCAATACACCTTCAAGACCTACCGCGTGAGCGACAGCGATCATGTAGGCGGCCCTGGCTAACTCAGATCGTTCTCCCACCAAACACAAAAGTCGTGACCCATAGTGGCGTTCGGCAGCCACCTGACACAACTGAGTAGACCTAATTAGAGAGATCACTGCTCACCCATGAGAGGGAAAAGGGGCTAGAAAAGATGCCCACAACGATTGTTGGGGCATCACGGCGTCTGCAGACTGGCCGTGGTCTCAGAGGCAAAACACGCGTTCGAAACAACCAAACAAGAAACAACACACTCTCTCGCCCCCCTCCCCTCTCCCCCGCCGCCTCCATCGCCTCCAATATTCGTCGCATTTTAGACGATACGAGAAACAACCGATCGGACCGGAGGACGGCGATAGTGGCTCAGGAACTGGCGTGCTACAAAGTGGACATCGCTGCACTCAGCGAGACCCACCTCTCCAAACAAGGCCAACTGGAGGAGGATGGTCCTGGCTACATCTTCTTCTGGAGTGGTAGCCTCAAGGCAGAGCGACAAGCCTCAGGCGTCACTGTTGCCATCCGAAACGATATCGTAAGATGACTGCCCGCTGCCGCAGGGCATCAATGATCGCCTGACGAGCCTCTGCCTGCCTGTCCGGGGAGGCAAATTCGTCACAACTATCAGCATCTACGCCTCCCCCCTCCCCGATGACCAGCCCTGACCCTGCAGGAACAAATTCTGCGATGACCTACACGCACTCCTGGCGACTGTGCTGACGGCGGATAAGTTGATTGTCGTTGGTGACTTCAACGCCCGCGTCGGCACAGACCATGCCCCCTGGAGAGGAGGGCTGGGTCCCCATGGTCTCGACGGCTCCAGTGAAAATGGCTTGCTCCTCCGACGAGCCTGCACAGAACACCCGCTCACCCTGAGCAACACCTACTTCCGCCTCCTGATGCAAGAGAAGACCACCTGGATGCACCCTCGGTCGCGACACTGTCACCTGCTGGACTATATCCCCGTCCAGAGGCGAGACCAGCGGGACGTGCTGGTGACAAAGGCGATCCCGGGTGCCTACGGATGGACCGACCATCGTTTCGTCATCTCCAAAATGTGGATTCGCCTACAGTCTCACAGGAGACCCCAAGGTAGGCGACCACCAGATAGGCTGAATATTGATTTGTTGTATTTGCACGCCCACCATCTCCACTTCCCCGATGAGGCAGCTCAACGGCTTGTCAGCCTTCCAGTCGTTGCCTTCCAGTTGCCACGAGAACGCCTCCGTGGAGAACCGATGGTGTCAACTGTGGGACACAGTCTACTCAACGATCCTGGCTGTACCCGGTTGTACACGACGCCAACATCAGGACTGGTTCGATGACAACGAAGTTGCCATCAGAAACCGGCTGGTCGGGAAGAAGCGCATACACAAAGCCTACGTCACTCGCCCCACCAACGACAACAGGGCAGCCTTCCATTGTAGTCATCGTCTTGTGCAATAGCGGCTGCGGGAGATGCAGGACGGTTGGACAACTCGCAAGGCCGAGGAGGTCCAAAGTTACGCAGCTCGCAAGGGATGAAAGAATTTCGTCTCTGCGATCAAGGCTGTCTACGGATCGCCAACCAAGACAAATGATCCTCTTCTTAGCGCTGACTGCATTACCCTACTCACCGGGAATAAAAATTCTTCAGCGATGGGTCGAGCACTTCAGAGGTTTTCCCAAACGTCCCTCCATCGCCTCCGATGTCGGTATCGCCCGTCTGCCTGAAATGTAGACCAACGCCGACCACGACCTCCGTCCTCTCTCCACAAAACCATTAAGGCTGTGCAGTAGCTCTCCAGTGGGAAAGCACCCGGATCGTACGCGATTCCTCCTGAGATGAACAAGCACGGTGGTCCCCAACTTACGAGCACCTGATAGCGCTATTCCAGGCGATGTGGCGCCGAGGCCAATTCCCGCAGGATTTCAAGTACGCCACAATCGTCAATCTTTACAGGCGGAAATACAATCGTCAGCTCCGCGACAACCATCGATGCATCTCTTTACTGAACATCGCCGGGAAGCTCTTCGCTCGCATTCTCCTCAATCGCCTGACCAACCATCTAGAATAAGGTCTCCTGCCGGGAAGCCAGTGCGGTTTCCGACGTCATCGTGGAACCACCAGCATGATCATCGCCGCCCGTCGACTACAGGAGAATTGTCAAAAAATTAGTAGCCACCTGTGTTCTACCTTCGTGGATCTGACAAATGCCTTCGATACAGGGAGTTGTGAAGGATTGTGGAAAATCATACAGGAATTCGGCCGTTCCGAATGATTCACTCAGATGGTGCGTCAGCTCCACGATGGCATGAATACGTGAGTCGACGACAATGGAGCTGTCTCGGTGGGATTCGCATTGTTCAACGGAGTAAAGCATGGCTATGTACTTACGCCTAAGCTCTCCAGCCTCATGTTCTCTGCTATGGCAATGGACGCCTACTATGATGAACACGTCGAAATCCCGTCGCCCACAGGACGGACGGTCACCTTCTCAATCAGAGACGTATGCATTTCCAGTTGCCGGGACTCGAATCCATCATCAGAGACAAAAAAGCAGAAACCCGTTTCTGCTTTTTTGTCTCTGATGATGGAGTCGAGTAGGAATCCGAAACGTCAGGCTAATAAAGCTCTTGTCCTGGCGTTCGTGTCTCCTTCTTCAAAACTTCTTCCTGGGACTCGTCTCTTCGCTTCTACTTCCAGTTGCGTTTGTCTACAACCACCGTCCATGATCTTCTCTTCGCCGACGACTGCGCCCTCAAGACCACCTTGAAATGGGGCAGAAGATCCGCCGCCCCGTAGTGTTGAAAACCGGTGATGAACCGATAGAGAATCAGGCCGTCGCGGCCTGCCTTCGACAAATTGGCGTAAGCCATAGATGCCAGGCATATTAGTTCCCCAGCAAAGTTGTCTACCCACCGAGACCTGGACGGTGTACAAGAAGCCGGCGCAAGGACTCAATCACTTCCACCTCAGATGTCTTCGACGGATACTGAAGCTGGGATAGCAGGACAGGATCCAGGACATGGATGTACTGGAGCGGACGGTAATCCCCAGCATCTACGCCATGAGGAGACTTCTACAACAACTCGCCCTACCACTCCATGGTCTCGACATCCGCTGCGGCAGCACCTGTACCCTCCACCACTGAACACAATCTTCAATCTAACAAATATCAACCCCTTTACCCCCCGAAAACCCCATCAATGCGGACTCGAATCCAACCCGTCCTCTTAGCGATCGCACCTTCACCTCACACATCGGCCTGGACAGTCGCTTGCGAATCGATCGCGCAGAGAATGGCAAACCAGTGCCTAGAGCACCAACATTCATCCACCCCATCCGTTTCAACCGCCCTCACCTTACCCGACTATTTACCCACCACATGGGCCTACTAGGCCACATGAGTATACAAGAAAGTCTGTGTTAGACAACCGCCGGCTAAACCATATCATCACATCTTCCTCCACCTACATCACGCAACATTACCGTCCACCGCAAGCATCCAATTGCCACCGACGGGCTTTGAAATCGTCACGATTTCCAAGCATACGCGGCTTGTGTTGTTCTGTGCAGGAACAACCCGGTTTTACTCGGGACCGTGGGTCAGTAGTATCCTTAAATACCCGAGTTCGCTGCAAAACCAACTTCTAGCCCCGGTCGGTCATTCTAGTGCTTACCGCATGGGGAATGTCGCGAAGACGTGAACGACACCTACCACCAGTACGCGGGCAAAACGTCAATCTGTCTCCATTGGGACCGCCATTCCAATCAGACATTGGCCAGGTCGGTCACATTCGAGGCCATCGCAACGCGACCGGACCAGTGCGCGTATCCCCGATAAAACGCCTTCTGGATCTCCCACGACGCACTAACTGCCGTGGCTTGAAGGCTTGCCAACTGAGGGGGTAAATCTACTCTACTTAGAGCTGAGAGTCAAACCACAAACGTCCCTTCGTAATGTGGCCCGTTTAGGAGTTTCTTATGTCGTTGGACAGGCGCCGCTGACAGGCGAAACACGCCCGTGTCCAAGCCGAATTTCTTATGCATCCAAGGCCAGAAGATGCGATCGGAGACCACCTCGTCGGTGCTTCGACCCCAGGATGATAGTTGTGCGTGGAGAATACCTTGCAGATATATTCCAACGCAAAGGAACAGTATAAGGCGTCTTAGATCCCACAGAGAACGGTGTCTTCACCATCGCGTTCACGCCAACCTTCAGTGATTATGATTCCGTAAGACTATCTGGACTCAGTAGAGCTAAAAAGAGCTGGGCGACAGTCGAAAGCGATCCCGACCCGGGGCAGCGGTAATTTTCATCTCTTTCAGCGTACTACCCGCGCTGAACTCACCAGGCCTGTTCAAACCACTTGAGTGGTATTTCCTGGGCAGTTGTGGATCAACTAAACTGTAGCCTATCCCATTGGCTGTATAGCCGTCGCTAGAGCAGCAGATCAGCAAGTTTGTGGAGATGTTGGGAGCACGTGCTGGTGGCGCGCAGTCGGCTCTGATCAGGAAAGTCCGGCGTTCTCCCTGCCACACCGAGTTAAGCACAAAGCGATCAGTATTATGACTGATGAGCCACCGGGTGCATCTCGGCCATCCCAGTCTCCGATAATCAGCAGATCACGGAGTGGGAGTCCTCCGATCAATTCTTGAAGCAACGATCAGAAAGGTTCCCCGTCGCGCTAGGTGGCAGCTAATGTCCGTGCGTATACGGAGATGGCAGGAATGTTCGTACTTACTCCTCAACCGCACCTAAGCCGCCAGATCATTGACTGGTTCCCATGCAAGTGGCGTTCAGCCAACTTAGTACGAGGGAGACCACCAGTGACTACGGGTAGAATCATGTGAGCCGCAGTGATACGTACGTAGCAGGAGAATGCCAGGATGATTATTTTCCAAGCGAACTTAAGACGGGCAATGAACGTCCACGATGTCCCGGTAACGACTAGCTACAAGGACATGGGGACGTTCGCACACCCCACGACCAGTGTCTATTCCAAATTCAGCAACCCAGCTTGTACATCATCTGCCCGCGCCCCTCTACGAGGGTCGCGTCTGTCCCCATGGGCATCGTAACACGACCTTGGTGATACACCGGACACTTCGTGGTTTCTTAGGGATTTTAAATGCATTTGCATCACCCGACAGCCGCCCTGACTTTTCTTTCGAGCTTGTCAGTTTTAGCGCTTTAGTTCCCTAATCTGACCACGGGGCAGCGACAGTATGCATGTTTCTTTCGTGGCGGTTTACTGTCATGCCACTGTCGTCGTCCGGCTCCGATGCATTTAACAAGGAATTTGGCGTGTCAAACCCCAGTCAGTGTCCTGGTAGCACTGTTACTGAGGTCCGCGACTGCTTATTCGTCATATTCGATGGCTTGCTTACTTTGCGGTCAAAACTCCCTATCCGCCAGCTATGCACGCGCCCGTAGTCCGCATTCCCCAATAATACGCTCGTCGATAAAGGGAAACTTGATGAGGATGACACTAAGGAAAACTCCCCTACCAAGGCTGTACTAAGATTTTGTGACAATGTGGCTGGGGGACCGATGTGACTTACAAAACCCACTACGCTAGAAATGCGAGACCTGGTAGACGGTAGGGTTGGGAAGCATGCAGACAGGGACGAAGTAGTCAAAGGCGACAACCACGCAAAACAGACTACCAAGCCCGAGCTTCATAACGTACTGAGTAGCGACCTTTTTTGGTAACTTACGACTGACGGGGTCCTGAGAAGTGCGTAAAGTATTCAGGAACTCGAACGCATATTTCTAGTCTTCTGTAGGATTGTCTTAAGTAACTACTATCACACGTCCGCTAAAGCTGAAACGTCCGCCGACACCTGGTTCCTCACTACCATTCAATTCATACCTCAACAAGTTGCTGGTTGAAGAAGCCCTTACCACCACATCCGCAAACCAACTGTCATACGTATGATCAGGTGGTCCTTAGGTGTCAACCGCCGCGGCTTTGCTAAATGATGCCCTGGAATATGTTCCAGTATGGAAACAAGTCGGGTTACAAGAGAAATTCAGGTCATAAGGCAGATGTGATCAGAACCAATTTCACGACTCAGCCATGTCTAAATAAGGCATTTCATCAGGCTGCCGATGTGACGAAAATTAAGCCCTTGCACTCTGGTAGCTACGCCGATGACCTATGACCAGTTGGCACGAATAAAAGTGCAGATGGGAATAGCTGCCTCACCTAAAAGCTGATCGAGAGAACAGTTAACAGCTGGCACGCCTACAGGCTATCAAAGAAGGCGCTCGGAGAGATGAGTGAACCCCTAGAATAATCTATGGCCGCCAGACACCTATTCTATCGCGGGCTCTTTGGCAGTGGGTGATTAAGAAGCCGCGTGATCACCGCGACTCGGTCCCTCTTCGACCGGATTAATGGCGTTGATGGCACAGTTATAGATCCAATCAAATTGCATGGTCCGAAATACGCCTAAGTGGCATGTACTGCCTGTTAAAAGCTCCTAATATCAATTTTCAGGAGACAACAGTTGCCAAAAACAGACCGTCCACTGCAAGAATTTGCCAGACAGTATATTTTACAAATCAGTGAATGGATCCCGCGTTGGAAGCTATTCTAGGCCACATGTCAGCACATTCTTTTGCAACAGGACCCGTAATGGCGGAACCTACAAAAAAAAGGTGGACTTTAATCGAATGGAACTGAAAAGCAGCCGTTGGATGTTAAAACAAAGTAGGTAAACAATATGCCAGTTACCACGTGTCGCAAATGCAATGGTTCGACGCCCAGAAAGCTCACTTGTGATGGCAGTGAACTCTACAGCGCCCGACAATGGTGAGTTCGTAGAAACAAACCCTTTTGATAGAGTTGCCGTCGCAAGCGACAAGATAAGGCCCAGCCCCGCAATTTGAACGCACTTGACATTAGAGCTGAAATGGCACAGAAAAGCAAACCTTCGTTGCATCTGCCTCGCTCTTACTGCGCCCAACACGTCTCGACGATTGTAAGTAGGTGTGAGCTCAATGGTTGACAAAGCTATACCCGTCTACGAGTGACACGACCCGTCCACGATCCCATATGCAGCAAGCTCCATTTACGCGATCTTTGGCCACACGTGAGTGCCATGCCAGATGCGTTGAGAGGCCAATGAAATTTGGCCTTCAGTCCTGCGCAAGACTGAGTTAACTCGTCTGTTGGCAACGCCTGAAGCCATGATACTTGACGCGTCGTTATAAGTTCGTGTAAGTTCTATTACTATGAAGAATACACTGTTGTCGTGACGATGGACTCCAGGGTAGCGCACTTACCACTACTTCTTTCTCCCTAGAACTGATGGACTGTCCGAGGTTTTTAGCGACTGGCGAGATTGGTCGGGATGACTGGAGCGAGGTCTGCCACCGTCTAGTGCTCGCCTCACAGACGCACATCAGTCGTACAGACTTGGGGCGGTCTAACAACGGCGTCCCATGAGTTAATGTGGTCACCGTTTTGATCTAGTGCTTCCGTCTCGGAAGGGGCGTTCGTGGCCGTCACAAGGAAAATGCAACAAAAACCCCAAACTAGGAAACTGGAACGTCAGGGAATAGTGTCAGATGCTTAAGGGCCGCAAAACGACTACGGCACACTACCACATCGGCCTGCAAGTCCAGGCGTGTATCGTTGATGAACCCTTAATGGGCGTTAAAACAGGAATGTCGGACTGTCAGGAAAAACCAAATCGGCATAAACGCTTGACTGTTCATCTAAGGTGTGCATAAATAAGTGGTTGTGGCCAGTGTTCATGGTGTTAAAGGGCTGGCACATCATTGTGGCATGCTGTCTGGACGCCGTCGGGGACCGCAGCGTAATTTGGCATGCGCCTCGAGCGATATTTTAATTGCATGTGGTACTCTCGGGTCACTTACCTTTCATTTCACCATTGGGCTTCACAATAACACCCGCATTATCTTCGAAGTAGATAAAGGTCCCGTCCTTTCTCCGGTATGACTTCCGTTGTCTTATAACCACGGCCTGCCAAACCTTCTTCCGAAGCTCCGGCTTGCCCTTCTTCACAGAACAGACGACACAGTCGCCAGTTGCAGCCGAGGGGAGACGGTTGAGGCGACCGCGGACGCCAAAAACAGCGATTACATAGAGATTTTTAGCGCCAGTGTTATCAGCACAATTGATCACTGCCCCAACGGGAAGACCCAGAGAGATGCGAAACTTGCCTCCCGAAGAGCCACCACGTCCTTAAAAAAAATCAAGTACTGTTGCAGCTTCCTTCTCGTGCCGGAGTAGTCAACAAAAAAACTAACCATGTACTTACCACGCTTCGACATGCCTACGGGTGGAGCCTAAAAGTGCCGGCGTATGATGAAATAGTAGTTTAAAACAAGAACCATAAGACAGTTTCTGAATAATCTGGCTTTTCAACAAATATCAAAGTTGTTTTTGGCAAAATTCAGGAATCGTATAATTTGACAAATTTGCTATCTAAAATTCTTTGTGAGTTTACCTTAGGTTGTTTATTCTAGACAAGACTTTATTCCTTCTTCTGACCATATCGTGATTTTTGTGATAAGGCCCTCGAGAAATGGACCCCAGCCTTCCTTTTAGTTCAACCGATATCTTGTGATGTCGTATGGTGACCAAAATGGGAACGAGGTAGATGGTTCGGACGGTAGGGCCAGTATGGCTTTCATGATGGTGGTGCACTTGCCCACAAATAATTTTTGAAAATATTGCAGATGGGTTGTCATTTGGATGGAAAGTTTGGTTACAACCTTTGCGTGTAAACCACCTGGACAAAAAATGTACTGAAATTACCTGTAGCTAAATGGTAATCTCTGCGTCTGCCGCAGACACTACAGTGCTATTTATGTAGATATGCGTATGTATGAGTGTGTTCCCGAAGTAGGGGGTGTAGGGGTGTCCAGCGGTGGGTCCACGTGACGGATGTACTAGGTCGCTCGCTCGTTTGCAGGTGCAGACTACGCCTGGCGTCCATTTGCTGGCACCAAACTCTCACATGTGGCTGCCCGAGGTTAGGCTCTGCCTAGCGGCCACACTCAGGTAACCGCCATGACCAGCGAGTTAGACCAAGTGAGAGTATCCGTTTGTGCATTTCCGCACATGATGAGGTCGGCTCCGCTGGCCCGATGGATCACCGCTACGGCATCCCGGAGATGAGGTTCCGTCTGCGACACGGTAGGAGGCCACAGGGTTAGTGAGCCCCCAGGAAAACGAAAGTTGATTTGCTGGATTGCAGTTTGTCTGCTAGTTTGTGGTCGTCCCTGTTGAAAACTAAATGGCGTTCTGTTAAATGCCCTCTGTTAACTTTGCTCTTTGCTGTTCTTGCCTGCTTGCTTTTTCTCTGTTTGTCCGTGTACTTTCTTGTTGTAGGCTAAATGCCGTTTTGTTTAATTTTACTGCTCACCGCTTACATTTTAGCAGTCAGTTGATTTAAAGAGGGAGGGGAGAGCTCTGTACCCCGTCAATTTACCCTTCCCCCTCAAGACTTAAAGTCCAACGGCGTGAGCGACAGCGATCTTTAAGGGGGCCCAGACTAACTCAGAACATTCTTCCACCAAACACAAAGGTCCTGGTCAATAATGAAGCTCGGCAGCAGCCTGACACAAATTAGCAGCCCTATTTAAAGAGAGCACTGCCCTACGATAAGGCGATATCATACTACCAGCATAGGTACTAGCCAAAAATGCACACGAGCGTGTATCGCCGATGATTTGCCGCTGCATGGGACATCTGCGAGAAGTTCGGCTCGTCAGTGGGTCCACCAGCATTCTCCGTGTGTCTGCTGATAGATACAGCAATTAAGAAATTGTAGCTTTTTTTAATTTGCTCAGAAATTATCTAAGAAGTTAGAGGAGATCAGTTAACCCAAGGCCTATAGGCACAGACCTAGAATTTTTACATGAATATTTGGGCCAAACTCCATCAGCCACAAGGGTAACCGCGCAATATTTATTAACTACTGGCAGGCAGCTAGTATAATAATTAAGGGTACGGTGATACCATAATAACAGCACAGGCTGGCCGTGGTCTCAGAGGCAAAACACGCGTTCGAAACAACCAAACAAGAAACAACACACTCTCTCGCCCCCCTCCCCTCTCCCCCGCCGCCTCCATCGCCTCCAATATTCGTCGCATTTTAGACGATACGAGAAACAACCG